GATACTAGGGGGGGTGGAGCCAATGGAGGGCGGAGCCAATGTGAGGCGGAGACTATGGGGGTGGGGCCAATGGAGGACGGAGCCAATGGAGGGCAGAGTCAATATGAGGCGGAGACTATGGGGCGGGGCCAAATGGAGGGTGGAGCCAATGGAGGGCGGAGCCAATGTGAGGCGGAGACTATGGGGGTGGGGCCAATGGAGGACGGAGCCAATAGGAGGCGGAGCCTATGGAGGGTGGAGCCAATGGAGGGCGGAGCCAATATGAGGCAGAGACTATGGGAATGGGGCCAAATTGAGGGTGGAGCCAATAGGAGGCGGAGCCTATGGAGGGTGGAGCCAAATTGAGGGTGGAGCCAATAGGAGGCGGGGCCTATGGGGGTGGGGACAAATGGAGGATGGAGCCAATAGATTAAAACATTTAATCTGCTACCAGATTATTAATCTGTACAACGTTCTCATCTGAGGAGATGAAAATCTGTTTAAAATTAAACGGATTTTTAAAGCTGGAGGATGTTCATCAGACCACCACGCTGTAACAGAGCCTCTTCAGTCAGAGGCTACTACTGAACCGCTGGAACACTGACCTCTACAGGAAATCCTTCCTGCCCAAAGCCACCAAACAAATTAAAACATCTCATTTATTCTCCCATTTTCTTAGATTGATAAATTTGATGCTGATATCTCTTAGCCGCTTCTCAGAACAGGAAAGACAGGATAAAATGTCACTGATAGAGAAACAAACAGTCTCTGGTCTAGTCAAAGGGCCTTTGACTAGACCAGTCTCTCTGGTCTGATGAGACAATATTTATTTCTATATGTATCAAATGTTTTGGCAGGCTCAGTCCTCCATAGGAAGGCAATGTTTGCAAAATCATAAACTACTTGAATGATTTAATTATAACTAAATGAAAGAAATGAAAGTTTTTAAGTGTTTCAGCAGCTGGAGAAATAAAATGAATCCAGATCTCAGAACTCTGATTTATTCTGATAAATTAAATAAATATTATTGTAGCATCATGAACACAAAACAAGAAGCTGCAGTTTAAATATGTAATAAACACAAATAGGAAACATATTTAAAATATTAAAAACTTTCCCAGAACAGGGATTTTTATAACTTACAGGTTTTGTTTTGTAACCAACTTTAAGTACAAATATTTCAAAAAGCTGAACGTGTTAAATTTACCTGAAACTAAAAACCTTCCTTTGAAAATCTACCGGAAAGTTTTCTGAAAATAACTTTTAAGCTCCTGAAATATTTAAACAAATGCAAAAAAGTTCTGAACATTTAGCAGAACAATTAAATTAAAAACAGATTTTATAAAAACTAAAAACTTTTGTTTGAATTGAAGAACATATAAATCTCCTTCTGTTAAACAAAAATTTCAAACCTCAATTTCTTTTAATTAAAAAAACAATAAACAATATAAAATAAAATATAATCTAAAAAATATCTAGATATTTATTAAAAATAAAACAGATAACAAATATTTTCTTTTTAAATAAAGCAAACAAAATAAAACTAAAATAAATAAATAACTAAATGAAAGAGAAAAAAAATTAAAATAATAAAAACAACAACTAGGCCTTTCTAACAGACAGCAGCGTCTCTCTGGGACGTTTTACCGTTTTGTGATTGGCTGTCATGGTGCGGCGCCGTCCAATCAGGCGGCTCAGGCCTCGGCCAGGCAGCTCATCACCTTCATCATCAGCTCCTCCTTCCTCAGCTTGGAGCTCACAGGGATTCCTCTGTTCCTGAGCCACAGCAGCAGGGAGCGGCTGCTCAGAACGGACCACTGGGAGGGAGACGATGAGGTCATCAGGCAGGGTGACATCAGCTCTGACATCACGATACAACCTAATGCCGTTAACGTTCAGCGAGCCGCCGCATCGTCCATCACTGCGTGTAACTTTGGGATTAATAAGGTGTTTCTGTAGCCGCTGCTGCTTCAGAGCAGAGGCCTTCCTGTCGCTGTTCATCACTACACCACGCCGCGATACTCCACCCTGAGGACGCCTCCATGTTTAAAACATGCAGAGTTCACTGGAGCTAAATGCGCTAAATGTTTTCAAAGTTAGCAGGAAAGCTAAGCGCTAAGCTACGTTAGCTCGAATGTTATGGTGAGAGTTCACACCTGGAAAGAACCTTTCAGGTCCAGTTTACACAACCCGACTCCAAAATAAGAGCCGATTGGGGTTTAGCTGCTCTTTAGTTTGGGTTTTTAAATCAGTTTCTCCTGCAGAACCGGGTCGGTCTGCAGAACCAGGTCGGTCTGCAGAACCAGGTTGGTCTCCAGAACCGGGTCGGTCTGCAGAACCGGGTCGGTCTCCAGAACCGGGTCGGTCCAGCTCACCTGGTGGCTTCTGGCCATTTTCTCCACGTCTTCCACTGAAACTCTGGACTTGTTGGGTTTCTCTTTCAGCTGGAAGGCGACCGTCTGGAGGGAGAACCAGACAATCATCTTAAGGTTCTAACAACGTGATGCCATTAAATTCCACCCAGAACCAGAACCAGAACTTAGTGGACCAACCTTCCTGCTGCTGGCGGCGGTCTCCGTATGTGGCGGGGCTGGTTCTGGTTCTGTGCTGCCTTCAGGGCCAGCCTCTCTGCTAGTTTTCATGATGCTTTTGGGTCGTGCTGCCTTCAAGCAGTCGGCGGCTCGTTCGGGTCGGACCGTCCCAGAGGTTCTACTGGGTGGGATGATGATGGCTGCTCTCGCCTTGAACACCGGGCTGAGGCTGGAGATCCGGGTGACCCTGGACTGACCCGACGGCTGGGGAACGGCGGCGCTCCGGCTTTTAGGGCGGCGGGCGAAGCGAGGGACGATGAGAGGAGGAGGAGGAACAGAGGAAGAGGAAGAGGAAGGGGTGGTTTGTGACCCAACAGGAAGCGGAAGGGTGAGTCTGCGCTTGTCCCCCGTCCCTCCGCTCTGCTGCTTCTGGACTCGCAGCAGAGCCACGCTGAGCCGGCGGGTCGGGTCGTTATTCCTGAAGATGGGAACCAGTTTAGGAGGCGGGTTCACTGGGACCGGACTGGGCTGAGGAAGAGGAGGGAGGGATGAAGCCGGCTGGAAGTGTTGGAAGAAAGAGGAAACAAATAGGGAGTGATCTGACTGCTGCTGGTTCTGACTGGAGGACAGGCGGGCCGACAGGGACCGGGCCGACGGGGACCGGGCCGACGGGGACCGGGCCGACGGGGACCGGTCCTCTGGACGGTGCCACAGCGAGTTCCCAGATCTGCTTCCTGGAAGAGCGCCACCCTGCTGGGAGAGGGGGACCCAGGCGGGCGGGTCCGGCCGGGAGGAGGGTGCAGGCTGGGACAGAACCGGCCTGGTGGTCAGGTTGATCTGGTCCGAACTCAGAACCTGAGGAAGGAAACGATTCACCTTCATCATCTGGAAGTTCAGATCTGATGTCAGACCTTTATGGACAAGTGATGCGAATCAGCATCATACCTGATTCAGCTTGAAAACAGCCAACAGGGTCCATAAAAACTACAAAGCTTGGTTGATTAATGTTCTTCTCTTACTGAGTTAACTATTAGAAGGGCTTTGGTGCCACCTGGTGGTCGGAGTGTGAACTACACCTGGTTCACATGCCTGGATTATGCTGATGAACTCTGTCAATAATCTTAACCAGATTGTTAATATTTTCTGCATATGATGATATATTATAATAGAGAACATGGGACCAAAATCCAAAAAGTTGCTTCTGATTTTGAGTTTGAAAGTTTCCAGCGACACTGAGCAAGTTAGGAATGGAAATTACTAAAACTAGTAATAAGAAGAAATATGTAAAATTTAGTTATAATTTTAGAAAAAGTAATTTCTTTCCATGTATTTTGATTATGGAACTCTGAATCAAAGGATTACTTCAGATTACTAAAATAATAACTAATAATAACTAATGATAACTAAATAAAGAGCTTTACAATATGCCACATATACCGTCACTGTTGTGGCACTAACCTGTATTTTAAAAACTATAATGATGAAAATGCAATGGCTGTTCGATAACGTTCTGATTCAATTACAGTCTTGTCTGGACAATAGAAGCATCAACAAAATAATCAACATACTGAGCCTGAAAAGTCTGTTTCATTCCTTAAGTGCCTGGTGTATCTGATTAGCATCACAGCTAAATTTACACTAATGCAATGTTTAAATTTATAATCTCTATTAACTTAACATTTTATTGACAACAAAACCAACTTCTGCTATAGAGCTACTATAATGTTTCCAATTATGAATTTATTCTGAGGCTTTTAGACGTTTTAATGAAGGTCAGAGGTCAGAATGTTGTGACCTTTGACCTTGTTCTAGATAGGGTAAATATTTCCTAAATGTTGCTGTTTTTTCATGCTATAAACATCAGAGCTGAGGTTAAACTGAAACGTCTGGAGGCCTGTGGAGGCGATTCTGGACGGTACCGGGTCGTTTAAATGTGACTGCAGCTGACAGAGACTCAGAGTAATTTAACAGAGAAATGGGAAGAGAAAGATAACAATCTGATAAAAAACAGAAGTTGATTTTTAACAACTTTCTGTTAATGAGGACAAAAGGAAAAGTGAAATCATTTCTTCCGTTCAGCTTCACCTTCCAGGCTGAAAACCAGCAGGAATTTCCACCTTTGAAGTGAGAATAAACGTCTGAGCTCAGACGGAGCTGGGCTGAACGCCATGAATATTTTAGCCCGACTCTGTGGGAGCTGAACTCGTCTCTGCAGAGTTTCTGACGGCCTTTCCCTCCTCTAACAGTCTGGATGAAGAATGGCTTTAATTTCAGCAGCTTTGATGCTCAACCTGCAGGAAGATCTGCAGCTGCGTTACGGCTGCTGAGAAACGCTTTTATTACAGCCATGAAGAAGAATATTCTGCATCAGGATGAGGACTGAGTCAGTTCTTCACCAAACCTCACGAGGAGAAGCTCCTTTCACTCCACTGACGTCAGGAACATTAATTGATGAGATGCAGAGGAAGAAGCTTCGCTGCTCTGCAGCGCCGCAGCTCTGAGGCTGTTAAACTGTCTGAAGGTTTTATTGGCTGGAAACGCGTGAAAAATCGTGTTTCCTGCAGCTTCACGCTCAGCAGAGAGGATTCAGGAAGCTACGGGAACGGCTGGGAAATAAAACCACTTCTATTCTCACGGTTAGGAGAAACTACCTCTATGTGTTTACATCATAAACATTCAGATTAATAAATGACTGAAACAGGTAAATGATTTATACTTTTTTGTTTCAACATGCTGGTTCTTCCACAAGGGGGCAGTAAAGCAACAGCTGCTCCAATTTCACTCTGCGACTCATTTTCACCAGAACAATTAAAGGATGCAGTAAACAGGCTGCATCGTTTATCTTTCTTATTTTTATGTCATTTTCATAGGATTATTATTTCTGTTTTGCTTAGAGAGAATTTTGTTGTTAATCATCATTGATATTAATTGTTTATTTTAGGATAAACTGTCAGCTGTTGCTGTTTTTGCAGCATAAATCTGCGGTTGAAAGTTATTTATTTTGGGTTTGTCTGGTTTTCTCAGAACATTGTCTCCTTCCTCTCCTCCTATTGGCTGCTGCTTGAGCAGCTGTGAGCGCGCTCAGTAGGCTCAGACAGGAAGAACCTCCTGAATTAGTTTACTGTTGTTGACAAAAAAATGTAACAAAGCATCATTTTCACTGCAGTTGTTCAAAACTGAAGCACCAAAAAACAAAAGAAACAAAGACAAGAGAAATAATCTCATGTTCAGAAATGATTTACTTCCAGATTTAAAGTTTATCTAAAATAATTTGGAAGTTGATGTGAAAAAGTTTTGCAGATTTTCTGGTTTTAATAAAATAAATGAGACGTTTCTGTTGTCTTTGTTCATTTTCCTCCTTGATGGAAAGCCTCAGTGATCTTGTGTATAAAATCACTTCTGGCTAATTATTTTAGAAAATGTAAAACTTTTATCATTCTTTTTTATAATAGTCTTGATAATATTCTACGTTTGGTATTGTTGTAATTATAATAAACATATATTTCCATAACATTTTCCCACTGAAGGCAATAAGAATATTCTAAAGATAAACATATTCTGTGAAGGTGCGTCAAGAATGGTTGAAAAAACCTGAGATTAAATTTAATTAACTTCACTATGGACACTCATATGATTGATAACTATTAAATATTTTAGTTGACAACCGTCGTGAAAATATTTAATGAATAAATGATTAAATTAAAACAATTAATTTAAATTTAATACTTAAACAATTTTAAATTAAATAATGAATTACAGATAAATAAATAAACAAATACATAAAACAACTTAAAGATAATTGGAGATTTTTTTGTATCTTCCTCCATGTTTTATTTGATCGATGTACCTGCCAATTAATTATAATTATTTTTAAACTTCCTGGTAAAACAAACAAATAAAAAGAACATTTTATTTAGTTTTATGTTTCTCAGATTTCTGAACAGTCAGAGCAAAACAGAAACATGAAGAAATAGACAAGAATTTATCTAAGAATTTAAAAATCAGCTTTTAAATTGAAACTTTCTTTCTAAAACTTTTATTTTTTAATGTTTACTGGGGGAAAATAACTTTATCTGTAACTCAGTCGTGCAGAGCTGCAGCTCCTACCTGCATGGAGGCGGCGGTGGTCAGGCCGGCCATGGGGTAACTGGGTTTACTGGTCAGACGGGTCGGGAAGCCGCACACACTCTGCAGCCGCTCTCTGCTGTCGGCCAGGAAGCGGGCCAGCGCCCCCTGCAGGTCGCCCCGGGGGCAGCGCTGCACAGGCTGCAGGCGGATGCAGCTGAGAGGGTAACTGACCGGCGGGAGTGAAGGGACGACGTTTGGTACCATGACAGAAAAAATAACAACAACAATAATGACAGTAATAATAGTAATAAATGGTTTAACCAGTGACATCTAGTTCACAGTTTCTACGCGCCGCGGCTCTGTGCAGCTTCTATGCAGTGAAGTTTGGATACGTGAAGAGTTTCTCTCCCACCGGTCTGAAGTAGACGCTGCAGTAGACTTCGCCCCCCTGCAGGTCCGGCAGCCGGTAGCCGTACTGGGAATCAAACCAACAACTACTTCAGACCAGTCTGGCTTCCACAGAAAAGCAGAGTGAGGTTCTGACAGTGCGGGCCGGGACGGGCGGTACCAGGCGGTTCCAGTGGCTCTGAAGGTCCCCGTAGGTCCTGAAGGGTCCGTCTCTGGGCAGCTGGCGGCTGATGCTGATGATCTGACCCTTCTTCATGCTGCACAGAAAAACACAGAGCAGTGGCTCCACCTGGTGGCCAGAGGCAAGATTACACCGACCCGATAAATCAGATCCACAGAGAAAGGCTGGATTAGATCCACCTGGATTAGATCAACCTGGATTAGATCAACCTGGACTAGATCCACCTGGATTAGATCAACCTGGATTAGATCCATATGGACTAGATCCATATGGATTAGATCCACCTGGATTAGATCAACCTGGATTAGATCAACCTGGATTAGATCCATATGGACTAGATCCATATGGATTAGATCCACCTGGATTAGATCCACCTGGATATGGATGTTAAAATATCACTTTAATACGACAAAGTATCCGGGTCAGCCTAAGAAAAAAAACATAAATTACGAAACATAAAGTCAGAATATTATGAAAATAAAGTTTAGGGCCACCGTGGGGGAATAGAGTCGTATTACAAGTAGGCCTGTCACGATAAAAAAATTTGCCAAGCGATTAATTATCTAAAAAATTATTGTGATAAATGATAATATTGTTTCAAGACCTTTTG